GGGCTGGAGCCAATCCCAGCTGACCCAAGGATAGGTCTTGTTTAGTTTTATTCACGCAGCTTTTGTTAGTGCACACACCCTGGTGGCATTGAACCAATACACTGTTCTAAATTAGGGGGTCCTTTTTGGCTTGTAACCCCTTAAATTCAAGCAGGGCCAATTTGTGAGACCTCATTACTTGTTGTATGTGTCTTCTGATTGTGACCAGTTCAACCAAAGATTACCACAAAAGACACAACTGTTTTGATGAGCTAACTGATGGTCATGTGTAAAATCAGGGTGCCCAAAGTTTATCAGAGATTTTAAGAAATAAAAAAAACAATGTTGTGCTTTGTACTCAGTGGACATCAACTCATTATAGTACTTGACAGGTCTGATCATTATTCACATAGTACAATGAATTTGAGTGTATACCCTTAATTTCTTGGCGACAGGAATTATCCCATGGAATGCCATGCCAGGCAAGGCCTGTGGATCTACGCTAGGTAACATCTGCAGCACCAGTGAGGTAAGAGGTTGTCTTTTATCCATGCAAATTCATACAAATGCCTTACAGAGGAGAGCAGAGGGGCGTAGCATGGAAATGCCTTTTTTTTGATCAACTGAAGAAAAATCACAGTTGCTTCTCCTTTTCTAGTTCTACCTGTCTTATCACCTGTACATCATAGCGTGCGCTGGGGCAGGAGCCACCGTGATCGCTCTGGTAAGTTTCTTCCGGTCTCTCCATCCTCTCCCTTTAGTCCACCTTTGCACGGTTTGTATCAGCAGATCATGTGTCGAGTGCTCCCCTTCTCATTCCCATATGGATTATGTAACCACACTAAAGAAGATTACACATAGTAATTCCATTTGCTGTTTACCATCTGCTTAAATGCACATGGCTGTGTTTTTTTTTATTTTAGGATGGATGGAAAGTGTAGTTAGGGCTTGCTGTTTGTGCATCTTAAAGGGTGTCATTTCTAAAAAATCATAATCATGAGTTTGAACCACAAAATCCCAGGTAGGATACTGTAAAATTATAGTCTAACATTTTTTCCTCCACTTAAAAACAAAAAACAAAACATTTTACTGCTGGAAAATTATTGGTCACTTTTGCTAACTTGTCACAGTACTAGTGACGAGGTCACCGGCATGTTCTCTTACATCCTTTTCTGTTCTCTTCCACCAGCTGATCTACATGATGGCTACCACTTATAACTTTGCCGTTTTGAAGTTTAAGAGTCGAGAAGACTGCTGCACTAAGTTTTAAACTGTTTTGAGCGCACAGTACAACATTTGAGGGTGTACTGAGTAGAGACAGTTGCCACTGACAACAAATGACATGAGAATAGAAAAATCAACATCTCTCCATTAGTGTAAATAGCTGATTGTATGCTTCTTTAGCATTTGGTATCCAGGGATATTGCTTGTTTGAGGACACCTGATGAAGTTGTATTCAGATTGGGGTGGTGTTTAGTTGACTGGTTTGTTCTGCTTTCCTTGGCACTAGCTTATAGCCACTTGTCACCATCAGATTTTACAGAAATGTGCACAGCTAGATATCCACAACAGTGTTATTTATATTCGTAATGTGTCAAGCTCATTTTGACCTGCACAAAAGCAACATGAGTATCTCAGATTTTTTTTAAAAAGCCTACAGTATTTAGCATGCTGTACCTCTCCTTGCATAACAGGTCAAGCATTAGCTGACTCCAGTCAGAGCTGAAGTGTGAATTTGAGCACAAACTGCTGAAGCACTTAAATGTAAGATACTTGTGCAGGTTGTAATATCTAAATTGGAAAGGAGGGACATACACTGCACCAAGCACATGTCAAAGTACAGTATAAAGCTCTGAAATTAGTCCACATGGACAACTGATGACAAATATTAAAGGAGTTCTCAGGCTTTGTTTTTCATTGCCAGATTATTAGTTTTGGTGAATTCAGAATCAATCAGAATACTTTATTCTAGTTATACATTTGCAAAAGGACTAGCTACAGTGGCAAAGTAGCAGTGGCCAATTGCCTTGTCCTTTTATTTCTTTGGTTTCTTTCCTTAGCCTTAACTTGTTGCTACCAACCCATGAAGTGTTACACAGAAAACATGCAGTATTAATATTTTTTTTTGTCACAAGTTAGATTCTAAACTGAACTAAAAACCTTTCATCAACTGTATTATACTGATGAGTATTGTGGTGACCAGTTATTGTAATAGTTGTAACTGCACATACCTAGCACAGCCGCACACTATGAAGGGTTAGGCCAGTACCAGGGGTATACTTCTGCATGAGGCCCTAAGCCTCATTTTCATTTTAATGTATTTTATAAATAAAAGAATGAGGTTGTTTTGTTTCATACATTTCCTTTATTTTTTTTTCCTCAAAGTGCCATTAAAGAGCCATTTGTTATCTTAACACTGAGCCCGCATGCTTACATTTTTCAGATTCTTTGATCTGTTTATAGTTACTTATACTCCATATTTCATATATTTAATTTTCTCCTACATTTTTGAAGACTGTAGCTTTTACTTTCTATATAAAAATAAACAATCTTTGTTTACAAAAGAATCCCTACTTGGTCTTTTTTTTTTTATATAAATCCTACACCAATATGATACTCACATTGGCCTCATTTGGAACAGGGTCAGATTCATAAAATATAAAATCTCATGCTTTGCACTAACCTCAAGCTTTAACAGCTGCATAAAACTTGCATGCACAACCTTTGGCTCTCTTTCTCTTCTCTACTCATTCTGACACCTTAACTTTAATTTCTGTAGTATTGCATAGCAAGATAGTAACGTAACTCGGGTATTAGGAATAATTGTAACAGTATTGTTACAATAAGTCTTTTCCAGTAATGTCTTTTGCCAACCTTGTGTGTTAAGTCTTTTTACAACTTTGTTTGTGTATGTCTGTAATGTAGCTCTGACTCCTGTAGCTTGCTTTGCACCTTTGACATGCTCACCGGCCATCCACCTCACCCTTCTCTTCCAGATCCACTTCCTCATGATTCTCTCAGCAAACTGGGCCTACCTTAAGGATGCCAGTCAAATGCATGCCTACCAAGACATCAAAATGAAGGAAGAGCGGGAGCTGCAGGACATCACGTCACGCTCAAAGGAATGCCTCAATTCCTACACATAAGGACATTAAACTCTCACACTCACAATTTACACACACGCATACACACACAAAAATACATGTGGCCAACCACTGTGGCCCCTTTGGACCAAGACAATGCTCAGCTAAAATAACCTGCCAACTACTGTGCCACTGTGCAGTACTAACCAGGCTCCAAACAAACTAATGCATCCGTGTTGCTTTCTGCACTAACTTACCAAGAAGTATTTTTGGAACTGCTACTTAAAATTTCATTTATGCTGTATTTTTATTTCATTTTCTATTCTTTTCTGGATGAATTCTGTTTTGAATTCAGATATTCATGTAGTGTTTGATTTTCTGTAGCCCTTTTTTTTTTTGCTGGTAAAGCTTGAGACATTGCACTATTCTTACACAACGCATAACGATGTCCGTTTGTTTTACAGTCTTGCTCTGTCTTTCTTTTTGAGCTGTGGTGGCCAGTTTTCCACAAGGGAATGTAACATTTTAATTTGTTTGCTCTCTTTCAATCAAAAAATGCAGATGAATTTTATACATCATGACAGGCCTTATATCCAATCTGAGTTAGTGTGCCACTCCTAGAAGAACCATTGATTTATAAACTACTGGCGCAAGACTGGGGTGTAACATGTTTTGCTTTGACGTCACAGTAAGGAAAGAGGTAAAATATATAATGTGGACCCAGTTTTGTTGTAAAAATGTTTAAAGTTCAAGTGTTTAACTGCATCTGAATTTTAGTGACAATCTTAAGTGTTAATAATTGGTTCTAGATTCTACATTTCATTGTACAGCTACTTAAGTAATTCAGAACATTCATGGCCTACATTAACACTACCTCAGGTGTGTGCTAGAGAATACACAGCAATTTAACTAGAACAAACACTTCCCTCTTTGGATATCCCATTTTATTTGTAAAGAGATGCCTCAGACACACATTCTGTTTCAGGGTAGCTGCAAAGTAAACTAAGCACACACATTGGGATCTCTCCTACATCCCTGGACTTAATTGTTCCTTTGGAAAAATCTACAGATCTGAAGAACTGAGGGTGTGAAAAATGTAAACTTGTTACAAGTGAGTATTATTTAGTTTTATTTTTGAAGATAAAACCACCTAATTGTTTTTTTTCTATAATTGCATCCGTTTGTCATAATGCTGACATAGTCTCTCATGTAAACTTTTATTCCATTAGTTACAGGGATAACTTGATGTTTCTTTGTTGCATGAAGACAACTCTTACTGCAGTGACACACAGGATGTGCAGTCATGTATACTGACATCAGTAGTAGGCAGTGCTTGCCTGTTTCCTTTTTTTCTAACCCAATACAAATTAATCCATTTATGTAGCCGATTAGTTATAGCTGGTTTTTTAGGTTATTTTATTCAAGTCAAAAATATGCGTCTTATTGTTGCCTGATAGTATACCTGTATTTTCTATGAATGTCAAGGGCTTCCTCGTTACTTAGTCATGCGTAACTTTTAATTCGACTTTCAAAAAAAATCTCTCTCTCTCTCATTATGACTCTCTGCCCTGTGTGTTTTACACAGTATCTGAGATACTGTAGTACAGAACCTGCATAGTTCTCTGCAGGACTAATAGCCACAGGTGTACAGTGACGAAAGGAGGTACATGAAGCTGATGGACATCTCATTTCTATATGCTGTGTTTCCTGTTGAATAACCAAAAACTAAAGAATAAAGGCTACCCAGCAATCACCAGGAAGACAACAATCCAGCATTTTGTCTGACTGAAATCCCCTTTGACATTATTCAACTGTTTTTATGAAAATAAAAAGACAATAAAAAAAATTAATCTCTCTGTTGTGGTGACTTTTCCTCCCACTTTTTGCATGATAGGAATAGACTGTTTGGTGGTGTACAGTCAATCCAAAAGGAAACCATTATAAATCCAATATGATTTATTCATACATATGCAGTGTGTGTCAAATATACATACTGAAAGCCCAATCTTAAAATATAAACAATAAAATGCTTCACACCTGTTAACAGTGCAAGGCTACAGATGCTTAAATAGTTCAGTTTATGATAGCACTTTGGGACAACCAGCTCACCAGAAATCATCATCATCATCTTCATCCTTGTGTGAATATGCTGCAATACTGAGAAAACAAAATCAGGTAAATTGGTGACAGTCTCAAGGGACAGGGGAAAAAAAAGCAAAAATAGTACAGTGTTTCACAATTAACTCACTTAAGACAACATAGTTCCAGAACAAACAACATTCAAAAGACCAGGAGATGAGAAACCAAGAAATAAATTTAATGTTTTTGGAAGAGGATTATGTGGGCTTATATATTTATTAAACTTTCCTACAGTAACCGCATAGCTTTAAGTAAAGTCATAAACCTATTCATCTATTTTGTGTCCGGCCTATTAAACTGTCCCTCCCCCCCCTTTTTGAGTTACCTGCCATCTTTCTCCTCAGACAAACTCTTAGCCTCTGGGCTTGTATGTCCTGCTTCTTCTCTTACAGGGCTCTGAAAACAGAGACGCACTCAGTTTAAACACACAGGGAGGCTGCTACAAGCCACATCTCAAAAGCAAAAGTTCTACAGGAGTCTCTGACAAATAGGTGTGCAACTCACTTGCGCATGCTGCTTCTCTCTTGCTTCCAGGACCATCTTCATGTATTTCTCCAATGGATTTTCAGACTCCTCGCCGTCATCATCCGCTTCTTGCTTTGGCTCTAAATCTCCTCCTTTCTTACTTCCAATTTCTTCTTCCTGTCCTGGTTTCTCCACCTGTTGCATAAGCTGGTTAGACACAGATACTGTCAATTTTAATTTCATCAGGCTGTGTTTACTTGGTTGACATAAATATGTTTAGATTATTATGATTAGAAAGAGGAGTTTTAGAAGAACTTGGTGCAAGACAACCATTACCATCTCTCTCTCCAGTCTTGCCAGTTCTTGCAGCTCCCTCTCTCTGGCTTCCTCTTCCTCCCTTTGCCTTCGTTCTTGCCTTTCCTTCCGCTCCCTTTCCCACCTTTGCTCTTCATCTTCTTCCCTAGCAGATGATTCACCCAAGGTTTGTGGGACTTCTATAAAACATATGGTTTGACATGAGACAAATCAGTTGTCAATGCATTTTTGATAATTTTGGTTTGACACCAGAATGAGCAAAAAATGAAAGATTCAAACAGTGATTGTGTACAGTAGAAGGTGGCCATTCTTGTCATTTGGGGTCAACCAAGATGGCGCGTCAATAACTCGGGGACTAACAACTCACCCGCCTGGGCCTGCAAGTCTTTTGGGTCTTCTGGGAGTTCCTGTGGGCGGGGGACAGTGGGCCGTCAGGGGCCTCCTCAGAGAGAGGGACGACAGTGTCCAGGAGAAGCTCTGGAATGTGGCTGGGCTCTGGAGGGAGACATGCACAAAGAGATCTTTTATGCCCCACCATAATGCAACAGGGCCAGAGGACCGGCACAGAATACATAATCAGCTGCCCTTCATCTTCACCATTGTGCGGGGCCACTGAAAGGACACTTTGGAGGCCAGTCACACACTCATTAAAAAACAGCCCTACCCAACTCCAAAACCTCCGTACCGGATATACTCCATTTTGTTACTGGGATTTTACTTAAATTAATGATAATAAAAACTGAAAAACAAAACGCACATTAACACATCACTAAGAACATTGTGTATTTAAAAATGTAATGAGCTTGTTTGAAGTATTTTGTATGGACAGATGAAGCACACACAATCACACTCCCATGTAGTATTTGCAAAGTGGAGAAGATCTAAAACTAGGTCTCACATCCCCTTTCACAGTATATTAGTGTAGTTTAAATAGTGAGAACATACACCAACAAATAAGAGTACCTGACAAAATCCCGGTGAGATCTTCAAGGCTTATTTTCTCAGGCTGTGGGGAAGACTCCAAGCTGGAGAACTCAGGCTGTAGCTTTGGTGGACTGACAGAAACCGGGGGCAAACATAGGGCATTAGGATTCACTTTCACTACATAGAGTGAATAGAAATTTTGTAATGTCCTTGATTAAGGGATGCCAGATGGTACCTGCACTGGTCTCGCGCTGTGCTCTTGAGCTGAGGACTTCGAGGTGAACTGAGCTCAGAGGAAAAGTCACCTGAGGTCACCACCTCGTTGTGGGGGGCGCGAGGGAGCTGTCTGTCAGGCGGCAGCTCCGGGAATGCCACCGGAGACACAACTGCTTCTATCACGGGCAAAGACTTCATGTTAGGTAATAAGAATATAATCCAAAGACTGACATGAAAAAGGTGTGAACTGACGGGGTAAAGGTACCTTCTGCAATCTCTCTTTGAAGTTTCTGCCTAGAGGAAGAGTGTGGTGGGGAGGATAAACATCTGGGTGGAGGGTTGCTCCCATCCTCAGAGTGTCCATCTCTTAGATACAGGGCTTCAGTTAAAGACTGGAGACTGTTATCAGGGAAAACTGTGAACTGTGGTTGGTTATGGTCTTCTAAGAAGGTCACTCTTGGTTGTGCAGGTAGTATGGTGTTTCTGGTGTCATAGGTTGAGGAGGGCGTTCTGGTGGTTTGTGGAGACAGTGGTCTGTGTGAGACCTTAGATTTGTGTGGTGAGTGGGTGTGTGAATGGTGAGAGACTTGCTTTCTTAGAGGAGGGTCAGGGTGATGGGAAGGATGTGTTGGTTGTGGGGAAAGGGGTCTAGGGGGAAGCATGTGGGAGATGGTGGAGCGCACTGCCCTCTGCTGGTAGTTCCTGTAGGCTTCCTCCAAGGTCTCAGCCTCTTTCTGCAGCTCCTGGATCCGAGCCTTGGCCTCAGCCACCAGCTCCATGTCGGAGTCTGGAGAGTCACTCCAAGGCGCCTTGTGTCCTCGCATGGGCCCGCCCAATTCACAAATACCATCATAACCCACCCTGGCCCTCAGCAGAGCCCTGTCCACATAGATGTCAGGGGGAACCAGCTTGTCTGCGCTGAGCTCCAACACTGAACGATCAACAAGAGAGGGCTTGGGGTTACGCAGCACTTCATTTTCAAGAGCTGCCATCATTGCATGGATTACACAAAAGAAATGGGAAAGAAAAGGAAAAGCAAATGAGAGAGAGAGATAGTTTGAACACTAATACACAAGACCAACCCCCATTCAAGAGCACAAATCAGAGAAAAAAAAAAAAAAAGTTGCTACAACTAATTTGAAGAAGTCTTCACACATGCATTTACACCTAGGATCTGGTTGACACGACTTCCTTTCTTGTATATAATATATTATAGTTACTGAGTGTGTTCGGGGTTCTTTAAAATTTGAAAAGGAAGCCAGTTTATGGAAAGCAAAAATAAAACAGAAGTTATGCATTACTGATTGTAACATATATAACTGCATACAGGAACCTACATGATTGGAAGTAACTAATCACTAGGACATGGCACACATGCATGCCCAGTCATTGGGTACCTTGTTGAGTTTGGCGAAGCTGCATCTTAAGGTCCTCAATGTGGTTAGTCATCCATTGTGACTTCTCTTCACACTCTATCAACTGACCCTTGAGCTGAGCGCACCGCTCCACCTGCAGAAAACAGCAGGACTTTTTATATTGTTGACACACAGGGTAAAGTATACGATAAGTACAGGTCACTCGAAAGCAACAAACCCCATTTACACAAGCCATTCCCCAAGGCGAGAACAAACTGCCTGGGAAAAAAAAAAAAAAACTGACTTAGTTTCCCACACTCAGCGAGAGGCTGCGATGCGACTGACCTCACTCTGGAGCTGTGCCTGCAGCACCTGTTTCTGGTTGTCAAACTCTTCCTCATCCAGACTGCGAGCGCTCTGTAGCCTCCGTAGCTCCATCTGCAGGGCCAGCTGCTCTTTGGACGGCTTGGCTAAATCTGAGATGGGATATCAGAGTCAAAACATAAACATAAAATATTTTGCCAGTAGTGTCTATTTCGGTTATCTAAAAAAAACAAACAAAACACCTGGTGATACACAGAAGGTGTTCGGATTTAGGGTATCCAGTTGAAATTTTTTCCCTGCCCCTCCTTAAACAGAAATAATACTGTATCCCTCAGAGATAGGTTATGTTTTGGTTATCTGCCATAGGTAAAGGCAGCTCTCTGTCTCTGCTCACTGCTCCCATTCACTCCACTTCTCGTTCCCATTCCCTCACTGGTTGCTTGTTTAGAGACTTACTCAACACAGAGCTACAAACACAGCACAGAGGCCCCCACATTGGCAGGCAAGACACATTCAAAAAGAATTAGCTGAGCCAGAAGCAGTGGGACAGATGAACATGAATGCTTCACAGTACACTGCATCTCCCACCGCTCGCAATGAATGCAACATAAGAACTTTATCACAGTTATAAATATTTTGGAGGTACTGATATTTACATATTATAAACAATAACTCTCAGATAATAAAATTCCCAGCCACAAAGGAATCAGTTGTATATTATCACAAAAAAAAATTGATTCCATCATTCCCTAATGGTAAACTAGATGGGCAAATTGCAGAAAGCCAAGTCCCCTGGGAGGTACCTCACCTGCATGGAGAAGCCGGTTCTCCTCTTGGGCCTCCTCCAGCTGTTTCTTTAGCAGTCGCAGTTGCCCCTGCAGCTCTGTTTTCTCTCTTTTCAAACTGGGGTAGTCACTCATGGTCTCCAGTCTTTCCCTTAACAGCTCCTTCTGTTGAGTCATTAGAGAAAGCTGCTGCTGTGATGTCTCTAACTCAGCCTGGGAAACAAGAGACATGAAAAGAGAAAAGAGACTTAATTATCAAATACATAAATACAGTTATTGCAGGATCACATCATACTGACTGATTGAAAGTGTACAGTTATTTTGTAGGACTGAAATATTGTGCCTGTTGCCCAGAGAAGAAGGTGAAGTTGTGTTGTTTACCTGCAGCCGTCTCAGCTCTGAACATGCTCTACTATGCTCCACTAAATTGGCATTAATTACAGCAGACTCCTTTTGGATACGAGCAGTTTCCACTGAGAAATAAAAAGAAAGTAAACATGATCAAACCACAGGTAACAGCAAAACAGTCAGTAACTTTACAGGTATGCAAATACCCACTTTTGTTTCTGTTCTCATTCTTGGTTAGTTTTTCTGTTCTCTTGACAAATTCCTCCTTCAACTCAAGCTGATACCTAAATTTATAAAAATCATAAGAACAACAGTCAAAAAGAGCTTTGAAACTTTTCCTGTTACAGAAGGGTGCAGAGTAATAAAACAAACCAGCTGCCATCTAAAGAACTGTTAAAGCACTGTGTGTCTCATTTGGTCAAATGGATCATCAATTGTTTTAAATAATGATTTTGATTAAATGTATGTTACTTCATAGTCAGAGCTGCTGACAGCCGGTAAACAGTCTTAAGTCCGGAAATCTGCACTACGTAACTATATTATTGTCAAGTAAGTCATAGTTGGTAAATCATAGTTTTGATGTAATATGATAAGCATATTAACACAGAAATTCACTTTTTGGGCTGTTGGGTCTTTGGAGTACCCAATTTTAACTTATTTATTGACGTTCATTCACCAACAAAACAATTATCTCTGATAACATTCAAACAGTAAGCAAAGACATTTTCCTGGAGAACGGAATAAATCTATGACTTGTATATTGTGCACACAGGATGCTGTTATTAATGGTAAAACCTACAAAACAGTGCCATCAACTGGTCACACAATGACATGGTTAAATAAACTTTGGTAATTTCAACCTGGACCCTATTTTCCCCACATTTTTGGATCTAAGTGCTTGTTTCAGCCATTAAACGCTCTTGCCAAAGCCACCAAACTCCATGGACAAATACAATAATTTACCTTGCAGCTCATCATACTTCTTTCAGATTCGACATAAGCAAAGTAAAACTCACCAAACTCGTCTTGGTTTGTCTTTCCATTGTTCCAACTCTCACCAACTCTGGTTTGGCTGATATAAACATTACAAATGAGACCTTGTTCATGATGAAAATACCTGGAAAGTTCATTCTTCAGCTGTTGATCGTATGTCGCCTCCATCGTCTTCAGTGCCAGTTCTCTCCTCCTCAGCAGCTCGTCCGTGGTCTTGACCTTCTCCTCATGAATTTGACAAGTCCTATCATCATACAAACACAGTAACATTCTTTGTCAACCATTGATCACAGGGAGGGAGTGTAGCCCCCCTTTATAAACATGAATGGTAAACAGAAAAAGCTCTTACTTTTCAAAAGCCTCCATTCTCATCCTCAGTTCATTTTCTCTGCTCCGCTGTGTTTCAATTTCTTTCAGGACAGATTGTCTCTGCATATACACATTTTTTTCTTCAATCTAAAAGGAAAGAGAAATACAAATTAACAGCCTCAATTACACTGTCTTAGATTTGAGCAATTTCAAATTGTGCCAATCAGTACTGTGATGTTGACAGCCTGCTGTAATTTTACTTTAAAGAAATTCTGATTTGCTGAAGTTAATCTTGAGAAAGAAACAGAGCACATCATCACATCAGCGGTAATCTACCTCTTGTTGTTTTTGTAACCGATCAATGGCATTTTTCTCCCGGTCCATCAATGTCTTTGCCTTCATTTCGTAAGTCCTCTCCAGCTCTTGCTTCAGTTTATCAAATTCTTTATGAAATTTAGCTTGTTCTTCCATCCTTACCTTGGCGATTTCAACATCTTTAAAATGATGCATCTGAAGAAAGAAAAGACACAATGTTAACCACCAGCAATACTACATTATCATATATTGGCCACAAAATAAATAGAATAATTTCTAACCCTTAAAACACGCCTGCTCATACAGTGTTTGACTTATTAGAATAATATTTTGTAGAAACATACATGTACCTTTGTGTTCATTTCTGCTTGCATTTGTGCTTCAGTTTCTTTTCTATATGCAGCCAGTTTTGATTGGAGCGAAAACCATTTATCCCCACTGTAGTTGAAGCTCTCGTATTCCTTATCAATCATTTTCATCTTCTCAACTGCATGTTGAACAAAGGAAACATTTAAAAACTGCACCAAAAAGCATGTGTGTAGAATACAATTTAAGACTTTATTTCATCGTACCAAGAGACTCTCCATAACTTGCTACGCTGATTGTCTGAGTATCAGCATCATGGCACAGGCCGTGAGTATAATGGTGTGTTAGCTGTGTTAGAAGGCTGATCAGGAACCCTGTTAGAGAAAGAGTAAATATATCAAGGATAGGCTCAAGCCTAAGGCCTAAGTTTTAAAAGAAAATGGAACAGAAATCTGCAAATACCTTTATCATTGCTCTCTTTGTTTGAAAACTGCAATAAAATCAAATTATAAAACACTATTACTACCAACAAGATTTATTTCTACTTATTTCAAGAACAATTTTCAACATGCTAGATCATATCATTGATTACCAGGGATCTGTAAAGGGCTGATTCAGGACTAATTTTAAGAAGCTGAAGAAGCTCTCCCTTAGTGGAAACCTGCTAAAATGGATCAGAGAACAAAATCTTAATCTGCAAACATTTTCATTACACTTTAAGCTACAGTAAATTAAACAAATAGTCATGTAGGCATGCTCACCTTGTCTTTGCACAGGCCACTTTCAGGGTAGAATACAGAAAGGGTGTACTCATACCCCGAGATGCGGAGATGATCAGCCACTATGCTGTTGCAGGCTGAGACCAAAAAGGGTTCAGATTTCCCAGGTACTGTTCTGGGAACTGGTTCTCCTCCAGTCAAAGGGGGGTGTTTTAACTCGTGGATGAGCTGATTCCGCAGCTGCGTCTGAATCAGATCAAAAGCGTGAAAGAGAACAAGGATGAAGACCAAACTCTCTCTATCGCGTAGGTCAATGGAGTACACTTGGTCAACAACAACGTCATTAGTACGACTTACTTTGAGCGTATCAAGCACTCCTTTACTTTTAAACGTTTGATACAGTCTTTTCCTCAGCTCATCTGGGGATAACGTGTCTTCCTTGGCCGATGACATCACTGTCGAGTGCTGTAATGTAGGTCCCGACCATACAGTCTATGGTCCTGACAGAAGAGAAACAAACAGCGCGGTAACGTTAATAACAAGGCGAGCTAGAGAACAAAAAAACCCTCACGTTTCAACAACTTTCGATGTGTTCTTACCTCGTGTTAGACTACTGTCACTTTGTCTCTTTAATACAACACCTGACAGGCATCTAAAAAAAAGTGAATAATTTATCTAGTTAACAGCCTAACGACCAGAAAGCGTTTTCGGCGTCCCTGTAGAGGAGGTGTGCCTCTAACATTTAAATCCGTCAACGGAAATTTGTATTCCGGGGAGGCCCACAGTTATGACGTAACATCAAAACGCTGTAATTATTTTTATTATTAATCCATAATATATTACTTATTCAATTCAGTGATATAATATTTATATGAAGCGAAGCTAAAAACAACCGTTTTACAGCAACTGACTGATACATTTATTTGGCTAATTGACCATGTCGTCATCTTTATGCGACGACTCACAGCTCTCCAGGAAGCAACATAAACAGGTAAAAACAAAGTCGCCTGTATCAAAGTAATACGCTTTCCTTCTTGTATTTAAATGTTACGTTGCATTCTTATAATCATTTAAGTTGTGAAATGTTTACTTTAGTCTCACACTTAAACGCCAGACGACGCCAAGCGCCTGTGGAGCGCTGCAGCTATTGTTAGCTTGCTAGCTGAAAGGTTCACAATAATTTGCGTGAAATTGATACTGATGTTTGGGATATTTGTCCAACATACTTCTTTTGGTCTGAATTGTTTTCAGGGCAGTTTGGCTGTGCAAAGATAAAGGGAAGACGATGTCTGGAAGTTTTTATTTTGTCATGGTTGGTCATCATGACAATCCTGTGTTTGAGATGGAGTTCCTGCCATCTGGGAAGCCTGAATCAAAGGTAACAAGGCTTAATAACATTAGAGTACATTCCAGTACATCTTTTCTTGTCCAGTAACAGGGTAGAGGGAAAAAAAAATGGTGCGTGTGATTCATTAGCCTAGCCATAGACTACAGCAGAACAGTCAGGACAAATCTATAAAGCATGTGACCACACTAAAATGTCTCTTTAATGTTACTACTACAAGGCCTTTATAGTTATGCTATGTCTCTTATTCTTTTATCGAGTTTAATAAGTTGTTTCATTGACCACAGGATGACCATCGTCACCTGAACCAGTTCATCGCACACGCAGCCCTGGATTTGGTGGATGAAAACATGTGGTTGTCCAACAATATGTACTTGAAAACTGTGGACAAGTTCAACGAGTGGTTTGTCTCTGCCTTTGTCACTGCAGGACATATCCTTTTTCCCCCCTATTATATTTGATTCTCTCAGACTACATTTTTAAAAAATTGATTGCAATCACAAAATTGACAAAATATCGCCATGTACAGTATATCGCTACTTTACTGACAGACAAAAAAGTCTACATAGTATATCTGTAATTTGGATAAAGTAATGCACAATAACTTAAATTATTAGTCAATTAACTGACAGAAAATGATTAAACAGTTTTGATAATCGATTATGTGTTTAGTTATTCCTCAAGCAAAAATGCCAAAGATTGTCTCTGTCCAACTTCTTAAGCATACACATGTCATGTTTACCTGTTTTTATACAATTGTAAATTGAATATCTTTCAGTTTTGGATAGTTTGTCATTTATTAAAATAATCAACAAGTTAATTGATAATGAAAATTGTTAGCTGTAGCTATACTGCCATTATCTAAGGAATGTACTGGCTTTGCTTTGTTTTCTTTAATTTGGTGTACATATAAGATTCATCATGCTGCATGATGTGCGACAAGAAGATGGAATCAAAAACTTTTTTAATGATGTATACGATTTCTACATTAAGGTAAGTTGTCTTCCATATGATTAGAGTACCCTGAGGTAACACTGGGCATATTTGTTTCCTTCAGTGTTTGATTAAATCATTTATTCTGTCTTCCAGTTTGCAATGAATCCATTCTATGAAATCAATGCACCAATCCGCTCCACGGCTTTTGAGAGGAAAGTACAGTTTCTCGGAAAGAAACATCTCCTGAGTTAATCACTTCACATACACAAGGATTTTTATGTTTTTGTCTATTTGTTGTAGATATGTTGTACCTAATACACTTGTTTGATGTATGTTTGTCTTTTCCTGTTTTGACAAAAGCAAACTTTATTCAACACAGATGTGGATTTTCTATAAAACTTTCCTGTCTGATTTACATTTTTAATATAATTTTGGTTTCCTGATTTCTTGCATTGGGTGTGGTGTGGATATGGCTACTGTATGTTAATTATCAACATTATACTTTAAGGAATAAACGCTTAAACTTATCCCAAGAGTGCTTGACAAATAATGACAAAAACATTTCAATGAATAGACACAATCTAGTGCAGTTAGGTACTTGTGTTATGTCTTATCTACTGCCTTCAGCATTATATTATTGCAGGGGTTAGAAAGCACAACAGAATGGTAACATTCAGTTAAAACCTTGGGATAATAAACTGACTTTTCTGACTTCACAGGCTACAAAACATGCTTTTACAGTATGAATTCTCAGGTGGTTTATTTATCGTTTAGCATACCAGTAGTACAACTTTTAATATATGAAATCTCAATGAGAAATAGTTAAGGCAAATGAATGGTTCACCATTTTAAATATTAAGCTGTGGGGAAAGATGTTGAATTGTAAGTAGAAAAAATGTTAGAAGTGCTTTGATGATCAAAATCATTATTTAAAACAATAAACTCAAATTAGTGGAATAAAAATGTACTCAATCTTGACTGCCCCTTCATTACAATTTCCTCCAGGAAATATTAATTCACTGACATTTAAGGTAAAAACAGGTTATAAAATACAAAACTTTCCAGAAACTTAAATACACCATACGCCATGCATGTTAACTTTGCTTTAATTTTGTTAGGGATCTTGTCCCCCTCAGTGCTTCCAGCATATAGCCATTATCTATTCACTATGCAGAATGTGCACAAACAAGACCTAAAGGTGCAACAATGACAACAAGCCACTTTGTGTTAGTTACACAAAGTAGTGCCTTAGCTACTTTATTATTGTCAAAAGATTGGGCTGTATAAGTTATTGAATTGTTATTTTCTAAATATAAATATACAGTTCATCACTATCTGCATTATTACATTTGGGAGTGAAGTTCAGAAACCCTATGATGATCGCACGCCCAAGGTAGTACACTTCTAAACACATTTTACAGAATCACATTATAATTTGCCTTTGTGACAGAAGGGAACATTTGAGCATTTGAGAGGGAAGTGAAACTTCTCAAATACATTGCCCCTGTTCCGTAATGACATGAATTTACTCACACACTGTCTCGGGCCAACACAAAATATAGTTTGTTTTTCTGTTACCCCTCCATAGCCTGGCTTTTGAATTGTGACAGCGCCGAGTGAATGATTCAGTGATTTCATGTTTATTTGTAATAAGAAACGTAGTGTTTCCTCGATGTCTCTTCAAACAGAAGTCCAACTATTATTATTATCAAGCCTTCAACGGTAAAACAAATCATAAAGCCAGTAGCATAATTTGTTTAAATAAGATGTTACTTCAGCATTGTAAACCTACAGCCTCATCACATAACAGGCATTACAGGAATATTAATGTTAGTGATAACTCCTGGATGTTATGAACAGCATGTGGTGGCGGAGCGAGGCTTTCTGTGGAGCTTGACTGTGTCTGTGGGGATGAGGTGGTCCGTTCTCTCATCCGCTGCCAACACTCTACGCACTGCCTCCTCAAACGCCACCGCTACATTGGTGGCATCCTTGGCACTGGTCTCATAATAGGGGAAGTCGCCGTTCTCCTTGCACCATTGCAGAGCCTCCTCAGTAGACACCTGCCGCTCTGTCACGTCCACTTTGTTGCCCAAGACTACGAATGGGAACTTCTCTGGCTCCTTGACATCTGCATAGTAGATGAACTCCTTCTTCCAGTTGCCTAAGTTGAGAAAACTCTGGTTGTCATCTACGCTGAAGGTGAGCAGGCAGCAGTCAGAACCACGATAGAAAGGAGTCCTCAGGCTGCGGAAGCGCTCCTGGCCAGCTGTGTCCCAGATCTGTAGGGTAACCTGGTGGCCGTCTACCTCAAGTTCCTTGTTGAGGAACTCAACGCCAATGGTGTGGAAAAGGTGTGCGTCAAACTTGTTGGTGACGTAGCGATTCATGATGGAGCTTTTTCCTACACCACCATCACCCAGCAGAATGACTTTCAGCAGGGATGTCTTTGTTGTCATGGCTATTCACTCCTGATCGAACACTTGGAAATAATTTACCTAATGGAGACATGCAATGTGCAAAATATATTGTTATTATCTGTACAACACGATCTTGCTGCAGAAGCACAATTTTTGGTGGATGTTTTGAGCTCTTTGGTCTCACCCACGATTGATTTTGGCCTCCTCCACTTGTCCAGATAATGTGCTGTAGACCCTTGTCCTTGGTCACATGCTCATTTGTTTAATGTTGATGTGAGCAGCCATGCAACAAACAGCTGTAACAGTGACAAGCAATCAGTTTCCTGATTAACAGATGGCACAGGACTGCCGTTATATCCCCACTGTTGCAATAAAGCATAATCTGCTACCAAACGATCATTACACTGTGAGCACAACCACGTAAAAAGAGATAGCTTGTCACATATGACGTACACAACATCAAACCAATGGCTATAAACCGCTAGTAGAGAGAGTACGAACTGTAGGTTTATCAACTGGCCAGGTGTTAGCTAAGCTAGGCTAACATGAAAAAATGAAAACAAGGGAACACCGTTAGGCTAATAAAATACACTACTTTCTCTAGCTCAGGTTTACTTGCAGGTGGAGCTTGCTAGTAACGTAACACTACCTCACAGTTTCAACCAACCCGCCGCCGAGTCAACGAGAAATATAACACGGAAAAATATGAATGCATACGTTTGACTGCTCCTCGCACTGGGGGTGGCTCGAGTCAACGTTAGGTCGCACCGTTTCCTGGTGAACTCCAAAGGCTCGGTGCTAACGCAGCTAGCTGCTAGCAAGCTAACGATACATGGACGGCCTCCGGTCATGTGATCTAGCCAGACAGAATACAACCAACGAGCGCTGAGATGACGTTTCACGCCCCTTCAACTCATATGACTGATATTAGTCGCAGTGTGCACGTTACAGCGAAAATATCATGCAACCTTTCAACCCAAGCGGGACTTTGCCTAACTTAGTGTTTATTTGTCTACAGTTGTTAGCTGGTCCCCGGCGTATCTCCATCGGTGACATTCCTCATGTTTTACTTCTTTGTATTATTCATGCGCTGCCACCAGATAGCGACATTTAGATGTTATCTGCAAGTATCCAAGATGTACTACACTATACGCCTCATGAAAAAACACTAGATGCTGCTCCCCGAGCTACTAAGTAATTACAACAGTATTAGCAGCATTAGCAATCTAGGTTATTTTACTACGTCAAGGAACAACTAATGTGCTTTGTATGCAGAGTGGCCCAGTTGGATTAACGCTACAGTTATTTTTACTGAGACACATTTGACACAATGCTGAGTAAGCATCATTCTAATGCTTTTAATGTAGTAGAGTGAAAAATGCATTGTTTCCCTCTGAAATCTAGCTCAGATGGTCGCAAAAATGTAATCAAGTAAAGCACAAGTACCTCAAAACTGTACCCATACACAATTATTATCAAAGACAGCAACATTATTGACGTTATAAATCCCCCACACTCTCATCAGCTGTCTGTTGTGGGAGAAAACCATCCTCTTTTCCCCTTTTTGATATGGATAGTTATATTGTCATGAAAGCATAATTTTCTCAAATTGAGTGTAAATTTACCACAAATCAGGAATCAACAGTTTTCTGTAATCAAATACCAGCCCTGGAATCCTTTAATATTTGTCATTTGTGGTGGTATTTCTTCAGCCAGCAGACTAATATTAGCTCATACTATGTCATAATACCTTGGATTTTGTACACCCCATAATACTGGTTTATGATACCACCACAGTCACTGCTATTACCATTAGACTATATCCAGATGATGCTAGAATTACAGTAAGTGATATGATTAAGATTAGGCATTCAGGTATACAACCATACAGTATGTGGGTAACAAAAGGAATGGTAGACAAAGTTAGAAAAAAACAAACCGATTTAATGTAATAGTACAGTATAATATGAAAGCGAAATTCACAGCAGTTATGCACTGATACATTTTATCATGCAAAATAGCCTTCAAAAGTTATTCATCTAAGATTGAATATCAGATATAATTCACCTAAGAATTCACATTACATGTCAGATTATTTTCAGATAACTTCAGCAATGTACTATCACAAGCACAGCAAAGGACTACACACAATACTGTCAAACCTAATTAACAGACAAAGTTAGCATTTCCACCTATTCCTGAGATCTGAGTTATTTGTATTGTAAAAGAAAATGGTAGAGAATGTAGTAGGATGTATTGATGTAGCAGCATGGTCATAACGTAAACATGCATGCTCTGAATGTACATAATCTTTCCTGGAGACCTGTGTCTGCATCTTTATGTGGCTGTCCTGTGGCTAAGCCATGAGTTAAACACAGAGAAAGTCCCAGTTTCAATTGGAGCTGATTTTCAAGTTGGAAATCCTGGGTGGAGTTTCTTAAAAGACTGGACTGACATCCTCTTGACAGGGCCCTGAGGTCAGCACAACATTGTTCAACCCAATCTCCCCTCCAACACCTTTCCCACGCTGCGCTTCAAAGACAATCTGAAAGACATTCAAGGTTACCATTGCATCTTTAGGTTGTAGACTCCAGTAGTGAGTTTGCCTTTTGTCTTTCAAACATACTGTGAACGAAATTAATGTAACATTTTAGGGGGAAAAAGCCCATCTTAGCTATTCAGATAAGTACTGCACATACTTTTGATACAACATTTGTGCTATTCAACCTCTTTATTACAGGTGTAATCATTATTAACAATTACAGCACTGGTTTGACAATCATCTATCGATAATATGTCTTATAAAATGAGAAATTGACTCACAGATACTGGGGCCTCTTCTTTCCAGGCCACAGTGAGGAGCTCTGTCTGCCAGCCCTGGTCTCTGCTTTGGCTCTGCTCCCATACTGGGTAAGCATTGTTATCCAGCAGCACCCTGAGAGTTCCCACATTATGGCCCACCACACGGTAGTCAAAGGTGAGACAGAAGCTGACCTGCTGGGCCCGGTCACTGAGAAGCAACTTCAGCTTGGCTACATCCTCCTGCTCCCCTATGAGCCCACTCATGGCCATGTAGTACTCAGCACCTGAAAGAGCTTGTAGCACAT